TATCTTTTTGGTAGTAAACGACATGCTTGATGAAATGGAGCAAAAATTCTTAGTAAGTGGGCATTCTTATGTGCCTTGCAATAGGGACTTCGCCTTGATAGAGAAAAGGAAAAATCTTAAAAGTGCTACACTCCTCAATGTGTCGAAGAAATGATAAAAAACAAGACATATTGTGCCCGTTGCAGACAATGACCATGAGCCTGAAAACTTTGAAAATTCACAGAAAGCTGCTAACTTTAACCTAAACGTTTCTAAACTTATCTATATTTCAAGTATCCACTCTAAAAGTAAATAAAGATAATCCTGCAACTATTAAAATAAAAAAAAACATTTAACGAAGTTGAAAACTGACAAACTGTCAACGTTTTAAAAAAAGGGAAATCTACGCCTCTCACGTGCCCGACTGCTTGAGTGTATGCATACACATGTATGATTGATATGGGGCATAAAACTATGAAGACTACATAGAATTAACTTTTAGCTTTATTTTTGGTTTCAGCTCTTTTTCGGCAAGTATAGAAATATTTAAGTAGTTTAACAAAATCGTGGAGAATGATGTTATCGGTAAATATTCTCTTTTCGGTAAAAATACCGAAAAATCCGGTTCAAGTCCATGCATGGATAATCTGAAATTTGCAATATGAATTTATATTCTAAATTCTATGCATATCCCTTCATATTCGTCAATATTTCACTTGAAGCTTTTATTTGTCATACGATTTTAGCAAAATGTAAGATACTAAAGGAAATACCGCACGGTGCAGCCCAGTTGACAAGAACGACAAGCTGTCAAGATTAGGGATGGTTAGATCCACGAAAAGTATCGATATGTATCGATTCTTATCGTTTTAGTAAGTATCTAAAATATTGGAATAAAATTATCGATATCCAGCAGAAGGAAACAGGTCCGTGAAGAAATTTATTCATTCATTCATCCCCAAGCAGAACTTGCATCCAAACTTGATACACCCTAATACATTTCTGCTAGTAAATGTACTAACTGAAAATTCTAAATACAGATACGTTGCAGTCGCTGACACCTTAATCGATGAAGATGGCGATATAAAAGTCACATTTCTTACAAAGGAACTCGGCAAAAGTATTCAAAATTGAACAAAATGATGTTTCATATGTCACCTATGAACAAGTCGTTAAAATTTTACCCATAATGAAATTGCATTTATTTTGAAACTACAAAAGTTTATTATTAGTACATTTTAAGTTTGAATTTAGGGTACTCATGTTCCTCATCCCTTAAGTACAAATAAAGATATAATACTAAAACGCTTATATTATTTTCATGCATGAAATATGTCAAAAACCGGGTGTTGTGCTCATTCGAGAACGTCAACATCATTTAGGGAACTTCATTATCACTTAGGGAACACACCCCCATCATTTTCGGTAACGTCACAAAGATGCCAAATAAATCACTAATATTTAATGTTTTAGTTGAATTTTACATATACGAGCCCCTTCCCACTTCAGTTGGCCCAACTATTGAAATCTTAGTTTTTTTCTTATCAAACACAAATAATAAAAATGTAGCAGGATGTTATAGGTTTAAAATATTAACAATGAATATTTTGATAATATATAGTAGAAGATACCAACTTTATCACTCCCTAATTAAATTTGCAGCATAAAAACACATGTTGCAATTACAGCATATCAACCTATTTTCATTTCAATGCAAAATAAGTCTATAACGCATAGGTGGCTGTGAAAAATAAAAGCCATGACAATTGTTTTTATTAATCACAGATGTCAGAATACTTTGAAAATAGTTTTGGGTAGTTAAGGTTTTCAAAATGGGTAGAGGAAAGATTATTAGTGAGAAAATTCGGTTACTGATAATTAAATTTTTTAATTCTGGGAAATCAAACTCAGAAATTGCAACTTTGTTAGACTTATCGCGGTACAGTGTGAGAAATATTGTTAGAAGATATAACGTAACTGGTTCAGTTAATATTAAGCCACGATATGTGAAAAAAGTAATATCACAAATGCCGACCGAAGAAGAGCATTAAGAAGAATAATCGTGAAAAACAGGCGTGCCAATTATTTACAATTAAGTGCTCTGTGGAGTGACGCTGTTGGAAGGAGAATTTCGAAGTCCACAACTCATAGAGAGGCCCACAAACTGGGATTTATCACTTGCAAGGTAAGTTTTCTTATAAAAAAAAGTGAAGTAAAAACCCTAAGTTGCACAACTTGTTTATAGGCCAAAGAAAAACCACTATTAACTCTACTGCAAAAGAAAAATCGGCTTAGATGGGCTAAAAAACATAGACAATGGACACCTCAACAATGGTGTGCAATACAATGGAGTGATGAGGCCCGATTCGAAGTTTGTATTGGTGACAGTCGCAGTAGAGGTATTCCCAAAGAAATGAAGCATTCCATGTTGACTGTCTGAAGAGAAAAGTGAAATTTCCAGCATGCATTATGGTCTGGGGCAGTATGTCATCAAAGGGAGTAGGAAAACTTCATTTTATTGATGGAAATGTGGATACAAACAAATATTTGGCAATTTTAGAAGAATCGCTTTTACCAGTGATGGAAGAATGTTTGACATCCGGCCAAGATTTTGTGTTTCAGCAAGATGGTGCAGCGCGCCATACCTCAAAAAAGGCTATAAAATGGATGGAAGAAAATAATGTACCACTTTTGAAATGGGTTTCTAGCAGTCCAGATCTGTCACCTATTGAAACTTTGTGGCACGAGATGAAAAAGGTTCTACGACAACATCCTGCTCGTACAATCACCGAACTGAGACAGAAGCTTCAAGAAATATGGGATTGTTTTACACCAAATTTTTGCCAAAACTTGGTTAACACTATGCCCCAAAGAATTTCAGCCATAATAAAAAATAAAGGTGATGTTAGCCAATGATAATCTTTCAATTGTTGCTTTGTTAACTTCGCGCATTTATTCGCACATTGTTTATTTGTTCAGATGTTCTATTAGCTATAGGTCTAAGTGATTTCAAATATGTATTTTTTATGACTAGAGTGTATATCTAAAATGTTTTTGAGAAAATAAATTGTTTTAGAAGTAAATAGTTTCGTCATGTTTAGTTTATAAAGGCATATTTTGGTACAAATCTTGAAGTGGGCCAACTGAAATGGGAAGGGGCTCGTACAAGATGGCATGACCTTTGGAATTTTGTATTTATATTATTAATATGCCACGTATAAAATAAATTTAAAGTTCTGGAGCAGAGTTTTCACCAATTGAAGATCTATGGAGAGTAATTTGAAAAATAAGTGTTTTGATTATGAAAAAAATAAAAAATAACAACATTTTCCGATCTAGGAACAGGTTTATTACAATCTATTGAATGTGATTATTAAATATACTAAGTGACATATAAATCCGAACACCCAGTTTAAATGGTTTTATTTTAATAAAATTTGGTGAATGTATTTATCTTACTGTAAATAACAAGTGAAAAAATTTTCAGCCTTATCAGTTGGACATTCCGGTTTTTATACTGCTTTTTTTTAATTCACTAACGCTCTAAAAATGAATATTTCAGCCGCAGTAAAAAATCAACGTTTGTGGATTTTGGTTCTTGACATCCTTTACGATCGGTTACGATGCCTAGAGTACGGAGACCTGTACGATTTCGTCAACTTAGTGAATTTGATAGGGGCCGTATAGTGGGACTTCGGGAAGCTGGACTTTCTTTTCGGGCAATTGCAGTTAGAGTGCAAAGAAGTGTAGACACTGTGGTTAGGTGTTGTCAGGCATGGCTTCGAGAAGGCCGTACGCAAAGAGCAAGGAGCACTGGACGCCGCCGTAGAACAACAGACCGTGAAGATCGCCGCCTAAGATTATTGGCCTTAAGGGACCATTTCTCCACTACCAGGTCCATTGCAAATGAATGGTTTGCAGAACACGGAAGACCTATTGGCATGCGAAGTGTTTACCGACGATTGAGAAGTTTTGGCTTGTTTTCATACCGGCCACACTGGGTCCTCCCTTTAACTCGAGAACACCGACGTAATCGCCTTGAGTGGTGCAGACAACGGTCACTCTGGGATCAGGAATGGAACAGTATTGTCTTTAGTGACGAGTCTCGATTTTGTTTAGGCATGCACGATGGTCGTGCCAGGGTTAGAAGGCGACGTGGTGAAAGGAGGAATCCACAGTTTTTTGTTGAAAGACATGTTCATCACACTGTTGGAGTTATGGTTTGGGGTGCTATAGCTTATGGTTCCAGGTCACCTTTACTCTTCATCAGAGGTAACATGAACGCGCAGCGTTATATCCACGAAGTTCTAGAACCCCATCTTTTACCCTATCTTGACACCCTGGCAGATCCAACTTTCCAACAAGATAATGCCCGACCACATGTTGCAAGAGTCACAATAGACTTCTTTCAACATAATGATGTCACATCGTTACCATGGCCAAGAAGATCTCCCGACTTATCCCCAATTGAGCACGTGTGGGATATGATGGCTAGGAGATTGCTCAATTTGCAACGTCCTCCTCAGACTCTAGAAGCACTTCGAGAGGAGTTGGTGGTTGCCTGGAATGAGATACCACAGGAGGACATTGACCACCTGATCAGAAGCATGCCTAGGCGCGTTGGAGAATGCGTAGCACATCAGGGTGCATCCACACATTATTAAAGGTCAAAGAGCTTTAAAGCAGTGCAATCATTTTGAAATTTTTATCATTTACTTATTATGCTTCATTAAGTACTTATACAAAATTTTATTAAAATAAAACCATTTAAACTGGGTGTTCGGATTTATATGCCACTTAGTATACGTTAGTTATATTATTATTTAAACTTCGTTAAAAAGTGTTCCCGAAATCACTCACAACTCTGGCGTAATTCCTATTAACGAGTAGAAGTTCGAAAATATATATTTTTGTGCGTGCCACTTCACAGACAAGATTCCTGATAAATGACACAACTCCTCTTGTTAGTTTTCTTCAAAAGTTAACTTAATTTCTCAGATATTTGAAAACCTATAATGCTCACCTCTCCGATTTTGACCCATACATAGCGTGTATTTATACGTTAGCATGTCGTCGACGGATGAATATTCTCCCAATGCTTCCTTCAGCCATGCTTCCTCTTGATGTCTCCTCTCCGAAATGTGACAAGAAGGGACATTTGAAGATCCAGGCAAACAAATTGTCCTTAACGCTCATAAGAGCCAAATTTTAGAGCATCCTGAAATGAAAATTCATGATATTGAAAGACGTGTGGCGAACAAAACAGACGTATGTTCTAAGACAATTCTCAAAAATGTTAAAGAATTTATAAAAAAAGAAAAAATTGTCTCCACCATACAAGAGGCTGCGTTACACGAAACTGTTACGCACATTTGATAATTTTGATCAGAATTATTACTTTTTTTTCTATTTGAAAAATCAACACGCTCTTTACGAGGTGAAATCGAATTTTTTTATTGGTAAATGAAGGTTGGTTTATGCCATTTATGTATGAAAAATAACATCAGTCATGTGACCACCGCGGCTTCGTTTACAGGCCAACATCCGAACATCCAAATATTTTCAATGACTTTTCCCAGAATAATCGGGTCTATCTCTCTACCATTCCCATACGCTTTTCCTTTCAAAAATCCCCAAAGAAGATAGTCAAGAGGTGTTAAATCGCACGATCTCGGGGGCCAACTGACATCTGCTCCGTCTTGATGAAACCAAAGACCGTCAGCACCAATACGATCCAATTGTGGCCACAAAAAATCTGTAACATGCCGCGATAACGTTCCCCGTTGACAGTAAGGGCCTTTTCTTCGGCATCTTCAAAGAAGAATGGTCCAACGATGCCACCAGCCCATAATTCGCACCAAACGGTCAGATTTTCAGGATGGAGAGGTTGTTCATGATATTGGTGTGGATTTTCAGCCCCCCTAGAATCTGCAATTTTGCTTATTTACGTACCATTGAGGTGAAAATGAGCCTCATCAGAAAAGAGCACTTTGGCCGAAAATCCGTCTTCTCTTTCCAGCATTAAATTAACAAAAACACGCCGCTGTTGATGGTCTGCCGGCTTCAATTCTTGTGTTAGTTGGATTTTGTATGGATGGAGGTGTAAATCAATGTGTAAAATCCGGCGTAAAGTGGTCTCACTAATTCCTAGTTGTTGCGAACACTTTCACTCACTGCGGCTATGTTTTTACGAGTACGAGCTGGAGGAGCATGTTGGTATGGCCTACGACCTTCAGCTGAACCAGTTTCCTCAAATCGATCAACAATCCAACGAATTCCATATCGGAAAAAACTAATGCGAAGTTTGCGAAAAGTATTTTTTATATTTCGACCGTTTTCGTAATAAGTTTGGATAACCAAAATGCGTTGTTGTGTTGTAAACGAATCTAAGATTATAAATGGCATACCTTTAACAGTTCATTTATGCTACCACATGACTTTTGACTCGCATGGTAACACATAAACTTATAGGTAAAAAAAAGTAATAGATGGCGCACCCAGTATTAATATTAGCTTTCTTGAATTAATAATAATAATAATAATAATAAATGTCTTTATTAATCAGAATACATCAGTGAGGCGAAGTTTAGCCAAATGGCTACTCTTACACTTAACCTCACTGTGTACGAAAGAGTAACACTCGATACACAAACAAACAAAAGTAATAATAAGAGAAAGAGACAAATGCACACTATTAATATCCCATCAGCTGTTTCTTAACGAGTCTCCTGAAAGGCACTATTGTTTTACTGCGACATGTTTTATCTGTAGAGTTGTATAACTTGACAGCATGAAATGTGAAGCTTTTCTGGAAAAGGGCCGTATAGTGGACTGGCATCGCAAAATTTAGGTTGTGTCTGAGATTTCTCTGATTAATGTTACCTCTTGGTACTAGCTTTTCTAAAATGTACGGTGGTTTTTTGGTGCAAACTACTTTATGGACAAACACCTTCATAGCATAAACAAACTGTGATTCCATCTTTAACCAATTTAAATCTTTAATCTTCGAAGAGACATGACTATATTTACGAAGTCCAAACACAAACCTGCAGCAGCCGTTTTGAATTTTTTGTAGTCTATACCGATCCGACGAATCCAAATAAGAATAGAATAAAATCAGAGAATGTTGCAAAGATGACAGGATCAAGCTTTCAACTAATTTTTTCCTAGTCTTAAAGTTTAAAATGAAACGGTTGGAATATAAAAGTTTTAATTTGGCATATGTTTTTTGAGACAGGTAACCGATGTGCCTATCAAACTTCAAGTTAGAGTCCAAGATAACACCCAGGTTTTTAGAATGTTCTACCATGGGGATGCGCTCGTTATTTATAATGAGTACAATTGCGTCCTTTATGTTATTATACATGTGTTTCGGAGAAAAAAGCATACTTGAACTCTTTTCAGGATTGATCCTGAGACAGTGCTTTTTACAAAAATCCGTAATATTGATTAGGTCAGTATTAATTTTAAACGACACTTCATTTAACTGAGCATATGTGAAGTGAAATGATAATTGTGTGTCATCAGCATACGTTTGTATAGAACAAAATTTCACACATGAATCTAAGTCTATAGTGTAAATTAAATATAGCAGGGGTCCCAGAACTGACCCCTGCGGAACGCCAGACGAAACCACAGTACTAGAAGAGACGCCCCTAACCGTCTTAACTAATTGTTTTCTTTCTGCCAAGTAGCTTTGGAAAAATCTTAGCGGTATATCAGATAATCCAATGTACTTCAGCTTGCTCAACATGATTTTGTGATTAACTGTATCAAAGGCTTTTGAGAAATCAATCATCACTAATATGGTATTAATATGTCTGTCTAAGTTACCTACGATGTTGTCAGTTAGATGGAGCAAAGCTGAAGTAGTGCTATGTCCCGCACGAAATCCTGATTGATGAGGAGAAAACAAGTTATTTTGCTCTAAATACTCCACTAGTTGAATGTACACTGCTTTCTCTAATACCTTCGAACAAAAGCACAGCAAACTAACAGGCCGCAAATGACTATGAGTGGTTGGATTTTTGACTTTGGCTAAAGGGATGATAATAGCTTCCTTCCAAGCATCAGGAAAAGTCCCGGTCTCAAGGCATATTTAACAATATGTGTTAAATACAATAAAATTTCTGGTAAGCAGTATCCTAGCATGTTCAAATTAATTTCATCACTCCCTGTAGCAGGTGACTTGATAGAGGTAACTATGTCCAAAATTTCTTCAGCGGTCATCATTCTAAATGTAAATGGAGTTACATCTTGGCTGTTAAAGCTGTTCTCATAAAACTCTACTGTACTGTCAATCAAACGGGAATTGATATTAAGATTTTGGTAATTTAACATGAAGTGGTTATTGACTTCATTAGGGTCTAACAGATCATAGGGTATTTCAATGTGTTTCTGGGGACAAATATTCATTGCTCTCAGCTGATCCCAAGCTTTTCTAGAATTGAGATTATCAAAGCGAGATAAATATGCCTTTTTCTCACGCCGGATTGAAGCAAGTGAATAATTTCTTAACTGTTTATACGCTGTCCAATTTTCATCTGATGGATTGTGACGAAATTTAATTAAGGCCTCATCTCTCACCTTAAGAATGACCTTAAGTGCGAAAGTTAACCATGGAGCAGCTTTTTTAGTGACACGAGCCGTCCGAATAGGAGCATGAAAGTTAAAAAGCTCAATAAGCACCCCATAAAGGATTAGAATTTTGGAGTTAATATCGGTAATATACAGCATTTCTTCTAAGCCAGCTGCAGCCAAATCCTGCTTGAATTTGATTACATCAATGTTCTTAAAATCCCTATAGGTTATGAATTTTTCCTCCGATGAAACGGTTTTAATATTTAATTCACAGAATACTAGTTTGTGGTCAGATATCATATCTGCATTTAAGGTACCAGAGTTGAGAACACTTTCAATATTATTTAAAAATATGACATCAATTAAAGTAGAACTAAAACGAGAAATACGAGTAGACTCATCGATGACCTGCCTGAAACCATAAAAATCAAGACAACTGCTGAGTACATTAGTGGTATCGAACATATCAATATTCATGTCTCCAAGAAGAATAATGTCATCATATTGAGGCATAAAGAAAGAAACAAGATTGTCTATGTGGTTTATACAATAATTGATAGAACAGTGAGGAGGTCTATAAAGTACCGCAACAAGCAGGCTTACGGAATTGATTCTACATTTACAACACAATAATTCCAGCGTACTGTTACCCAAAAAATCGATATTAACAGTACTGAATCTCAGATTAGCCTTTGCGTATATGCCAACCCCACCACCTCTGCCAATTCTATCTTTGCGAAAGAAATTATACTCGTGCATACTGATAAGATTATCTGGTATATTGCCTGAAAGCCATGTTTCAGACACAGCTATAATATCAAATTGATCTTTTACCAGCAAAGAAAACTCATTAAAAGAAGCTGTAAGTGATCGAACATTTATATGGCAAATTTTTAAAACATCATTTTTATTACTTCCCATAGTCCACGCGCTGCTTCAAATTGTCAACATAACCTTGGTACACAGGACATCCAGGAAAGTTAGCAGAATCATCTGTGGGCAAGCTCTTTTTGTGTGACTTGTTATGATTAACACAGTTAATGCATTGTAGCGCCTCCGACTTGCACTCTTTCAGTTTGTGTTTTCTGCAGCATCTAGGACATGCAAGCTCTGATTTGCAAGCAGCTTCAGTATGGCCGAATGAACAACATTTGTAACATTTCATCAAGCGCAAATGGTCAGAAATGAAACACTTTTTCCAACCAATGAACAACGAACCTATTTGTAACAGGGATTTTCTTAAATCAGGTGTCACTTCAATGACGACACTAGTTCCGCTCTTAAGTCTAAGTTTAGTGACAAATTCAATCTGAGATTTTTGCGTAACAGTTAAATTATTCAGGGTAGCTATATTCGTTATAATATCATCTGGCGAATCAATACCATCCAAATTAACATTTTTTATTATTAACCTTGGATTTAATTTCTTGGCCTCAGATATTGTATATTTAGATGCCAACTTTGCATCAAGACTAGTTTTCAATGAGTTCAAAGATGCATCGTCTTTACAATGAACCGCCACACCGTTACGGATTTTACGTGTATTATTTACACATATATTCATGCTGGCCAAATTGACAGATGATTTTATGTCATCTAACACTTTACTTGTGTCGGAGGTGTTGCTACCAACAGATTGAACCAAAAGAACAGATGAGTTGTCAATATTCTTCTGTTTTACTATATCACTAAAAAGAAGACCAGGTTGATGTACATTGACCTGGCTACTACCACATGCTTGAGATTTTGCAGGTTCACGTTCTTCGTACGACTTCAGCAGGGATTTTTGCAACTGTACAGTGTATTCGAGATTAGTTAAAAGTTTTTTAGTTGAATCCAATTCTCGATTGACGCTTTCCAACTCTTTTCTCAATAATGTTATGTCAGTTTTTGTCTCATTACTGACTGACTGCAAGGAGCATTTACAATCGTCGCAAAGCCAAAATATATTTTCGCATTCTGAAAAGATTTTTAACCAGCTGTCTCTCACAGATACGCATGACGTATGGAATTTAAGCTTGCAAAGGCCACACTTTACTATTTTCGTGCACACTATAAAGTTATCACTACATACTATGCATACTTCCACATCAGGTGCCATGACTCTAGCATGGACCTAATTGCCTGAACTATATGCAAAAATTGCAACAAAATACCAGAAATTCCACAGGTTTTTCTAGCAGGCAACAGATAACAATACAGAAAAATGGTACTTATGACCACTATAAGTAAGAACACTACGACGTAAATCAGTAATTGAGGCAAATTTTACCAATCAAGATACTGCACCGCATGCACTAACCATAGCACTACGTCAGATATAGCCACAATGAAATTTCCGATCTTTTTCCCTAATAAAGAGGCACTACCATCGACCCGCTAATCGGTGCGATGTATACAGTCCGACGGTCTGGACGGTATTGATATATGAAATAATTAAAGGAAAAGGAAAACGATTTGTTATCTGTCACATTGGCAGTCAAGATGGCTTTGAGCCTTCTGCCGTATGGGCATTTGAATCAGAGAAAACGACTGACTACCATGAAGAAATGGACGGGAGTTCATTTGAACGATGGTTTGAAGAAATGCTCCCAAAGCTTGACGACAATGCCGTCATTGTATTTGATACTGCTGCATACCACACTAGAAAACTAGAAAAAATTCCATGCGGCTGAAGTTCCGATCGATCACGCTCTGATCGAAACGGTAAAAAGGCAGCAGTGACGAAAATTTGCCATTACCACTTCTACTGACGTAATTTAGGTCCAAATAAACATAAATCGATGCGGTTTTCACGTAGTTCGATTGTATTACGGGCTTTCTATGTACTGTAAGAGTTTTATCTCCCTCCTCCAAAATCTTCCTCAAAGTGAGGAGAAACGCGAAAAAATTGATATTACATTAAAATAAACCTGGAGAAATGCGGTTTTCACGTCAATTGATTAGAAAAAGCATATTTTACTTACGCTAAATTCAAATCCGTGCTATCTCGTTCACAGATACCGCAAATTGACCCCCCTTTAAAACCTAATATTTTAGAAGCTATATAATCATCTATAGCTTTTCAAACCGCCCAAGACCAAAATGTTTTGGACACTTCTCGCATGTATATGATCTAGTCAATCACACCATATCAGCCGTTTCCCCAAACCAAGTCCGGAACCCTCCGTTTTTGCCCAATCTTTATTTATACATGACAAATTTGAAAAAATCTATTATTCGTCAAAACAGCCGAAGACCCAAAATTTTTTTACATTTCTGGCATCAGTATAATCCACTTTATCACTCCCTACTAGCCGTTTCCCCAAACCAAGTCCGGAACCCTCCGTTTTTGACCCCTCTTTATTTATACATGACAAATTTGAAAAATCTATTATTCGTCAAAACAGCTGAAGACCCAAAATTTTTTACATTTCTGGCATCAGTATAATCTACCTTATCACTCCCTACTAGCCGTTTCCCCAAAGCAAGTCCGGAACCCTCCGTTTTTGACCCCTCTTTATTTATACATGACAAATTTGAAAAAATCTATTATTCGTCAAAACAGCCGAAGACCCAAAATTTTTTTACATTTCTGGCATCAGTATAATCCACTTTATCACTCCCTACTAGCCGTTTCCCCAAACCAAGTCCGGAACCCTCCGTTTTTGACCCCTCTTTATTTATACATGACAAATTTGAAAAATCTATTATTCGTCAAAACAGCTGAAGACCCAAAATTTTTTTACATTTCTGGCATCAGTATAATCCACTTTATCACTCCCTACTAGCCGTTTCCCCAAACCAAGTCCGGAACCCTCCGTTTTTGACCCCTCTTTATTTATACATGACAAATTTGAAAAAATCTATTATTCGTCAAAACAGCCGAAGACCCAAAATTTTTTTACATTTCTGGCATCAGTATAATCCACTTTATCACTCCCTACTAGCCGTTTCCCCAAACCAAGTCCGGAACCCTCCGTTTTTGACCCCTCTTTATTTATACATGACAAATTTGAAAAATCTATTATTCGTCAAAACAGCTGAAGACCCAAAATTTTTTTACATTTCTGGCATCAGTATAATCTACCTTATCACTCTCTACTAGCCGTTTCAACAAAGCAAGTCCGGAACCCTCCGTTTTTGACCCCTCTTTATTTATACATGACAAATTTGAAAAAATCTATTATTCGTCAAAACAGCCGAAGACCCAAAATTTTTTTACATTTCTGGCATCAATATAATCTACCTTATCACTCCCTATTAGCCGTTTCCCCAAACCAAGTCCGGAACCCTCCGTTTTTGACCCCTCTTTATTTATACATGAGAAATTTGAAAAAATCTATTATTCATCAAAACAGCCGAAGACCCAAAATTTTTTTACATTTCTGGCATCAGTATAATCCACTTTATCACTCCCTACTAGCCGTTTCCCCAAAGCAAGTCCGGAACCCTCCTTTTTTGACCCCTCTTTATTTATACATGACAAATTTGAAAAAATCCATTATTCGTCAAAACAGCCGAAGACCCAAAATTTTTTTACATTTCTGGCATCAGTATAATCCACTTTATCACTCCCTACTAGCCGTTTCCCCAAACCAAGTCCGGAACCCTCCGTTTTTGACCCCTCTTTATTTATACATGAGAAATTTGAAAAAATCTATTATTCTTCAAAACAGCCGAAGACCCAAAATTTTTTTACATTTCTGGCATCAATATAATCTACCTTATCACTCCCTATTAGCCGTTTCCCCAAACCAAGTCCGGAACCCTCCGTTTTTGACCCCTCTTTATTTATACATGACAATTTTGAAAAAATCTATTATTCGTCAAAACAGCCGAAGACCCAAAATTTTTTTACATTTCTGGCATCAGTATAATCCACTTTATCACTCCCTACTAGCCGTTTCCCCAAACCAAGTCCGGAACCCTCCGTTTTTGACCTTTCTTTATTTATACATGAGAAATTTGAAAAATCTATTATTCGTCAAAACAGCAGAAGACCCAAATTTTTTTTTACATTTCTGGCATCAATATGATCTACCTTATCACTCCCCACTAGCCGTTTCCCCAAACCAAGTCCGGAACCCTCCGTTTTTGACCCCTCTTTATTTATACATGAGAAATTTGAAAAAATCTATTATTCGTCAAAACAGCCGAAGACCCAAAATTTTTTTACGTTTCTGGCATCAATATAATCTACCTTATCACTCCCTACTAGCCGTTTCCCCAAACCAAGTCCGGAACCCTCCGTTTTTGACCCCTCTTTATTTATACATGACAAATTTTAAAAAATCTATTATACGTCAAAACAGCCGAAGACCCAAAATTTTTTTACATTTCTGGCATCAGTATAATCCACTTTATCACTTCCTACTAGCCGTTTCCCCAAACCAAGTCCGGAACCCTCCGTTTTTGACCCCTCTTTATTTATACGTGACAAATTTGAAAAAATCTATTATTCGTCAAAACAGCCGAAGACCCAAAATTTTTTTACATTTCTGGCATCAATATAATCTACCTCATCACTCCCTACTAGCCGTTTCCCCAAACCAAGTCCGGAACACTCCGTTTTGACCCCTCTTTATTTATACATGACAAATTTGAAAAAATCTATTATTCGTCAAAACAGCCGAAGACCCAAAATTTTTTTACATTTCTGGCATCAGTATAATCCACTTTATCACTCCCTACTAGCCGTTTCCCCAAACCAAGTCCGGAACCCTCCGTTTTTGACCCCTCTTTATTTATATATGAGAAATTTGAAAAAATCTATTATTCGTCAAAACAGCCGAAGACCCAAAATTTTTTTACATTTCTGGCATCAATATAATCTACCTTATCACTCCCTACTAGCCGTTTCCCCAAACCAAGTCCGGAACCCTCCGTTTTTGACCCCTCTTTATTTATACATGACAAATTTGAAAAAATCTATTATTCGTCAAAACAGCCGAAGACCCAAAATTTTTTTACATTTCTGGCATCAGTATAATCCACTTTATCACTCCCTACTAGCCGTTTCCCCAAACCAAGTCCGGAACCCTCCGTTTTTGACCCCTCTTTATTTATACATGACAAATTTGAAAAAATCTATTATTCGTCAAAACAGCCGAAGACCCAAAATTTTTTTACATTTCTGGCATCAGTATAATCCACTTTATCACTCCCTACTAGCCGTTTCCCCAAACCAAGTCCGGAACCCTCCGTTTTTGACCCCTCTTTATTTATACATGACAAATATGAAAAAATCTATTATTCGTCAAAACAGCTGAAGACCCAAAATTTTTTTACATTTCAGGCATCAGTATAATCCACTTTATCACTCCCTACTAGCCGTTTCCCCAAACCAAGTCCGGAACCCTCCGTTTTTGACCCCTCTTTATTTATACATGACAAATTTGAAAAAATCTATTATTCGTCAAAACAGCCGAAGACCCAAAATTTTTTTACATTTCTGGCATCAGTATAATCCACTTTATCACTCCCTACTAGCCGTTTCCCCAAACCAAGTCCGGAACCCTCCGTTTTTGACCCCTCTTTATTTATACATGACAATTTTGAAAAAATCTATTATTCGTCAAAACAGCCGAAGACCCAAAATTTTTTTACATTTCTGGCATCAGTATAATCCACTTTATCACTCCCTACTAGCCGTTTCCCCAAACCAAGTCCGGAACCCTCCGTTTTTGACCTTTCTTTATTTATACATGAGAAATTTGAAAAATCTATTATTCGTCAAAACAGCAGAAGACCCAAATTTTTTTTTACATTTCTGGCATCAATATGATCTACCTTATCACTCCCCACTAGCCGTTTCCCCAAACCAAGTCCGGAACCCTCCGTTTTTGACCCCTCTTTATTTATACATGAGAAATTTGAAAAAATCTATTATTCGTCAAAACAGCCGAAGACCCAAAATTTTTTTACGTTTCTGGCATCAATATAATCTACCTTATCACTCCCTACTAGCCGTTTCCCCAAACCAAGTCCGGAACCCTCCGTTTTGACCCCTCTTTATTTATACATGACAAATTTTAAAAAATCTATTATACGTCAAAACAGCCGAAGACCCAAAATTTTTTTACATTTCTGGCATCAGTATAATCCACTTTATCACTTCCTACTAGCCGTTTCCCCAAACCAAGTCCGGAACCCTCCGTTTTTGACCCCTCTTTATTTATACGTGACAAATTTGAAAAAATCTATTATTCGTCAAAACAGCCGAAGACCCAAAATTTTTTTACATTTCTGGCATCAATATAATCTACCTCATCACTCCCTACTAGCCGTTTCCCCAAACCAAGTCCGGAACACTCCGTTTTTGACCCCTCTTTATTTATACATGACAAATTTGAAAAAATCTATTATTCGTCAAAACAGCCGAAGACCCAAAATTTTTTTACATTTCTGGCATCAGTATAATCCACTTT